ATACATTGCACTTGGTGAAACCGCACCTTTCATACCAGGTATAAATTTTTTGTTGTTTCTTTTTAAACCTACTTTTATATAAAACAGGGTCCTTGAACTTTCAATTTACTCAACTCATCACCCACTTTAAACTTTTTTTTTTTCCATTTTCTCTCTTGCTCTTATCTTGATTAGAATAGAAACTAAACTGCAAATAGAAAAGTCTCTGTAAGAATAAGCTTCTATTGTTATTAGACACTGAAGTTTTTGAAAGACAGTGATGTTATCTGTGATCTTTGTGTCCCGTATTATTAGTTTTTGCTGAGAAAAGTGTTTAGATATCAGTAGTAACTGTAGTAAAATCTTTCATGTGACTCATAATTTAAATGGAAAAGAAACTTTTGTAACTTCTGAAAAGAGATCATATTTGAATATACACGGAAATAATAATAAATAAAATTTGTTTGGGGAAACTTCACCGATTTCAGTAAAACAAAAATAGGGATGGAAAAAGCATGTTCTCTTGGTTGCTACCAGGAAATAACTTGTTTCTTAATCATTTTACTTTTAAAAATACATGTAAAAAGGATTTTTCCTAGAGCAGTTGCGAAGAGGGTTGGAAAGAGCCATGTTCTATTTTAGTGGAAAACGTACTTATAAACTTCTTTTAAGTTTAAAGTAATGTGTTGGCTCCACAGGTAAGTGCATGGCATCCTAATTATTTTGTCTGGTTGTGGAAGTAAATTGCTAAGCACCTTCAACATTTTATAACAAAACGCAGTTTTTCCTGGTTCAGTGTGAAAGTATTAGCAGATATTACTTTTTAAAATCTTGATTAAAAATGTTTCTAAACATGTAGAAAAATATTTTAAGAGAGAAAGTGTTTTGGAATATACAGTGTATATACAGTGTATTAATGAAGAATATAATACCATATGAATTTATATGGTGATATCGTCCATAAGAAATCAAGTTTAGCTAAATTGTTATGCTTCTAAAATCATATTTCATGATATTAAAACCATGTAGGATAAACAAAGAGAAATAGGATACAGCTGATTAATTCTGTTCTCGTCTGCTATTCTACGAAGAATTGTAAGAAGTTACACAAACCTAATATACCAATACTATTTAAATAAATTTCTTTATTGAGTTTATTGGTTATTGTTTGCTAATTATTTACAAAATAGCTCTTGCCCTTCCATTGTGCCTTAGCTAATGGAAAGCCACCTTTAAAAGGCTTAATTAATATTGATAAACCTGTTTTTGTGGTTCAAGGTCCTTTAGCTTAAAAACCATTATTTTGGATGTTATTTTTAGGAGCCAGTAATCTCCACACTCTTAATTATCTTATTAAGCTCCATGCCAATTCCAAACCTCTTTTCAGCTTTCATTATTTCATTGTGCAGAACCTAGTCGCTTCCTTAACCGCCATCTCCTTTCACTTTCAAGACTGTTGCTGTGGAAGCAACAGCAACCGAAAGAAACTCTTAAATGCAAACTATGAAAGCACATTCTCTGTCATACAAGGAGCCTGGGTGGGGCCCCAGGAGTCATCCAAGGTTAAAAAAAAAAAAAATACTTTTAAGGATTTTATCCATTTTGATACTGTGTTTCTGTCTCCATCATCTACCTCCATTCCCACCATCACCCAGATGCTCCTCCTGGGTAGCAGTTGTCTGATATTTACCTTTTGTGGTTGTTTTAGGGGAACACTTAAAATGGATATGAGACATGAAGAAAGTGATCATAGGAGAAAATCATCTCAGGTAAAAGTGAAAAGTGAAAGTATAATTAACCTACAGTATTTTAAAGAGAAATTATGTTGACAATGTTTGGTTATAAGAAAATTTTCATTTTCTTTTATGAAGCTACCCATTAGAATTTTCATAGATGGTGTTCCTTTGATAGTTTACAATAATAATACCTATCTTTGTGAACATTTTTGACTGGTTTTGTGATCAATGTCCAGTTGCACCACTCTGAATACATCTGTGTATCGATCCCTACAACACAGGTCCAAGATGGTTGAAAAGAAAGCTATTTAAGGAAAAAAAGTGTTTTCAGTGATTATGCTATATGAAAGGAAGTTAAATCTGGGATAAAGGAGTAGACACACGAGCTTTATAATGTTTTCCACATATCTAAAAACAAAATAAAGCCAAAGCACATTTTATGGGGATAAAAGCTAAAGCCAGGGCTTCCTGCTCTTTTACACAAAATGCATGAATATATTCTGCAGTTCTTTCCCTACCAGTGGCTGTGTGACTGTTGGTTATTTACTACAATGTTAATAAGTAGGGGAACAACTTGAAATAAATAATGGTAAAAAATTGTGTAAACCAAATTATCTGTATTAAAATTTGTGAAGCATTCTATTTTATTTATTTCAAAACATGTCAAATCATAAAGTAATTACGATGCAGTATTATTTTTTACAATGAAGATATAATTAAGAAAAGCTAAATGCTTTTAGATACGAGTGAAATAATTAATGATTATACAACTTATAATTTTGCTGTAGTTAAGCTTAGAAGTCTAAAAAATATATGTGGCTGGCTTTATGCTTATCCTCTGGACTGCTTCCTTGCAGGCTGGCAGTGTAAAAAATTAAGAATAATTTGTTATTTTCAACCTGTTGAACAGTAGAGTGTTGTATGTAGGCATATATTTTGTTTAAAATTTGTCTTTCTTGGAAAGAGAAATATGCTCTTTGAAGTAACATGGCCAAAGTCTAAACGTTAGCACAGAACAGCAATAATCACGCTGTTATTGTAGCATTATTTTAGTTTTCTGGGACCAGTTCTTGTAAGTACTCTAAATTTTAATTTCATTCTAACTAAAGACACATATCTATATTTTTAGGATTTGTAACTTCTATGTTCTTTACCTAGACAACAAGATGACATTTGTTTTATGAAAGCTATGTTACCAATTCCTTAACAGTAGCTAATGTGTTATGAGAATGAGTATAAGCAGTCTAACTTACATAAAATTAGCTTAATTGGTAATTTGGCTTTAGGTATAGGCTCATATTAGTACATTCATGTTTCACAACAGCAGAATTCATATATGCATATACATATTCTTTTCTAGAACTTATAATTATTTAGAAGTTTAATGCTAAATTATTCACAATTAAAACAAAAATAGTTTATAAAATATTTCAATAAACTATTTTTAATCCTCATGTTTATAGACCTATGTTTAGGTTAGCATATTCTGAAAGTCTTTAACTGGGAATATGAATCCTTAGAGTTCAGCCTTTAAATAATTATACTAAAATATTAATATTATTTTTATCCCCCAATTGCATTAGATGTTTACAACAAATGTTACATTATTAGGGAGCCTTTGCAAGATGTTGCCCATTGGCATAAACCCGTAGATCCGATCTTGTGGTGAAGTGGACCGCACAAGCTCGCTTCTATGGGTCTGTGTCAGTGTGGTAATCTGACAAAATACTATACACAGTGCTGCTCAATAATATTTCAGTACTTTTCTGTTAAACTTCAAGTTTTTTTTTTTACATAGTCTTGAAAGAATCTTATTTCCTTCGTTTTTTCATGTATATATTAATTTTCATCTGTCTTAGAAAGCAAACTTTAACTGTTGACCTTTTGAAAATATTTATAGCACAGTCATTCAAGTTTAATTCTAAGAGCAATAAAATGCTTTTAAAAGTTGGGGTTTTAATAGCTGGGTTTAAACAAGAGCTAAACAGCTCCTGTTGAGAATCCAGCACATTCTATGTCAGTTCATGTACCTGTTCCACTTCAACAAGAAGAAAAGTCTATAACTAGATATATGTGTTACAATTAAAACTATTTCTCCTTGAATATGAGGCTGAATGCTATTGACTTTTAAATGCATTTCTAGTAGGAATGGCAAAAGAGATGCCAGAACACAGTCTATATAACCCCTACCAGAAACCCAAGAGATAGGAGAGCCCTATAAGATATATTTGAAGTTGATTGGTAAGCTACTAGAATATTCTATCTACAATCTTGCCAAGCCCTTAGGTATTTGGCCGCCATATTTACAGGAGCTGACAGAAGATATGATAAGGAGTTTGAAGCAACATTGGAAGCTGTGTGCATCCGGGTTGAGGTAGTAGGTTGTATGGTTTAGAGTTACACCCTGGGAGTTAACTGTACAACCTTCTAGCTTTCCTTGGAGCACACTTGAGCCATCGAGGAATTCTTCATCACCTTAATGACTGAGCCAATTTCTGTGCAAGAAAGTAATGTGTCATGAGGCATGAATGCATTTAAATGATCATTCCAACCAAATTATTGAGGCATAAACAATGACAAAATAGCATTTCTAATGGGTTGTTAACTGTGTTTGCCATTTTAAAGAACTGATGGGTAGTGAATTAAGTTGCATTAATATTGAAACAATTTTTTTCAACTATAGATTCACAAATGTAATTTTCAAATTTGTTATTGGTATATTTTTCCTGGCCACTTAAACATGATGTATTATTTGATGTTTTGCTTATGGCACATCACTTTCTACATTATATCTATTTATATATTTGTTTATATTTTTCATACTAGACTGTAAGCCCCTTGAGGGCAAAGTCCATGCCTTATTTTTTGTTGTATTTTTTTTAATGCATTGCACAACTTGCACAGTAAATATTTGTTCAATGAATGAAATGGTATATAAAATTTCACACTGTGAAGAGTTTCTCAATCTGAATTTTGTTCATTGATCTTAGACTTGCATAACTTTAATTCCCAGACTGTTTGGAGTCACTAATACATGTGACATGATTTTTGACTGTGTTGAATGAGTTGATTCATTCTAAACATACAATTTAAATTTGGGAGTAATTTTTCTCTGAAATAAAAATAATAGAGCTTAGTTTATCACAGTTGATAACTTTAGCTTTAAACAATGTATATTTATGTTGAACTTAAATATTTTTATTTAATGATCTTTTCTTTTAATATGAATTTCAACTACAGATTCTATTTAAATCTTATTTAATGATTTTTAAAAATCATATTTTTATATTTTGTGTTTTTTCTTATCTTTTACAATATCTTTTATTTTTTATGCATCTGAATTTTGTCAGTTGGATACACCATAAATATCCTATGAAACTAATAATAACTAACAATGTAAAATGTAATTTGAAATTTTGAACATGTTTTTAAAGGAAAGGCACTTTACAATATTATGTTATAAAAGCAAATGAGACTTTATAGAATATTTTTATTTTCTGTCAATTCTAGTGACATTTAGTGATGTAATGAATTAGTGATTTTATCTTATAAAGGTTATCTGTCAGCTATAGAATTAAATAACTTTTACTTTATTTACCACTACAAATTTCTATAAATCATGGTATACATAAATAGAGGTTAGGCAGGTGTATAAGTTCATATGTGTGTCTATCACCATATATAGACACACATATACATATCACCTTAAGTCTTTGCTATCTGGTCATTAATGTTATAAAATAAACTATTTAATGCTTCAAAATAATTCATTATCTAAAGAGAGCCAACAATGATATAAATAAGGAATTGTTGTACTCCTAATATATAGAACAGAGGGGTTTTAGAAACTGAACACCAACTACTTTTAACCATTGTATTTTGACACAGGTGTGCCTATCTAGCCAAGGCTTTTTTGGAACTCTCTGTGTTGCAGGATATACTAGAACTTGATTCTCCTGCCTCAGGCTTCCTTGTTCTGGAACTATAGGCACATCCTACTAAACCTGACTAAAATTTTTAACTGGCATGCAGAAATAATATTACTAGTGTCTCTGAAAGAAAACTCTTTCAGTGAACTAATCAGTGAATGCCTTTATATCCCAGCACTTGGGAGGCAAAGGAAAATGAATTATTGTGAGATTGAGGCCAACCTGGACTACATAGTGAGTTCCAGGTCACCTGGGGTTACAGGGAGACCCTGTCTCAAAAAAAAAAAAAAAAAAAAAAAAAAAAGACAAAAACTACCCAGCCACCCACACACCCAACCAACCAATCAAACAAACAAGAAGCAATGAATAAGAGATAGGAAATACAGACCAAAAAAAGAAAGAAAGAAAAAAAAACAACTTGAAAGGAAAACTGACTGCTCATCAGTAGAAGAGGTGTCATGTCACATAGTTAGTTTGAACATAAAAATGAGAAAAATAAGCAAGAAAGTAATCAGCAAATATATCTCTGTCAAAGATAAGCCCGTGAGATCTTAGTACCCCTTTCATGTGTGTTCATATACATTTGTGTTTTCTACCTATTCCAATACCAGTTGTACAGTTTTGGAGGCCACATGGTATGCATGTTGAAGGATCAGATAGATAACTACAGGAAAGAAACTCTTATATCCCATGCAGTTCACTAGAGTTGTGTGCTACAAAGGCCAATTTTGGTGTGCAGCTAAAGAATAATCCTTTTAAATACTATAACAGGGCACTGGAAAGATGGTTTAGTGATTAAGAGCTCTTTCTGCTCCTCCAGAAGACCTGAACTCAGTTCCCAGAACCCACTCTGTGCAGCTCATAATTACCTATGATTCCACAGGATCCAATGCTCTCTTCTTGTTTCTGAGGTCACCCACACATGGCATATACTCAATCCACATGCACATATACATAAAAAAATAAAATAATTTTAAAAATAAAATACTATAATAGAATTATTGACTCATGAGTTCTTTTATATACTTTACAAAGTGAACTGGAGTTGTAAAAAAAAATAGCTGAAAAGTAATGAATAGAAAGCTGTGATTCATTAAATTAATC